AGATGTGAAAGACTGTGTAGGCTTTGAGGACCCAGTCAGGCATAAAATATGTCCACTGAGCTTTAGAATCACCCTCCTAGAGGTTCTCAGAACTGAAAAAGATAAAATGTGCCCTGTTGATTGATGAAGAGCATTCAGTTGAAAGAAAACAGAGGGCTTATAAATGAGTCAGTAGCTAAACAAGGGAGGAAGAAATGAGTCAGGATGAGAGGTCTTTTCTCTAGAGAACCAGGAATCTGTCTATGTTGTTATTTAGCTCAGACTAGAAAGGGTCTGGAGACCCAGTGCATGAACTTCGGGAAAACTTTGCAGCACGAGAAGGTAGAGGACAGAGTAGTAAAAGAAGAAATGTTGCCCACGTCAGTAGGGAAGGGAACAGAAAAAGGCCCTGGAACTGAGAGCTGGAAGGTGAGGGGCAGACGTGGGCTTCTGAGATGCCTCACGTCCGTGACTATGCGCCTGGGCTCTTTAACTAGAATTCTTCACCTAGAAATAGACCTAGGTTTTCTCTTCCAGCTGGTTTTTATTTCGGAAAAAATTCCAAACTGTTTTAAGTTTTGTTTGCTCATTTGATATACAAGTCAGAACCTGGAGGAGAGAAAGTGGGAGGTTGGGGTTTCATGGCTGGCTCTCCTGCTCACCCACTTTGTGATCTTAGACAACTTACTCTATACTCTGAGTCTTTTCTGTTAAAATGTGGTGAATAACTATAATAATACCTTCCTGATTTTGAGGATTACAAAAGGTAATGTGTGTAGAAAATTTGGCACAGTGTCTGGCAATAATGAATGTTAGCCTCTGCTGAGAAGGTAGGCAGAGAATGCCTTACGTATTGAAAAGCACTATAAGACTATCCATAGACACTATTACGCTATTCACGTTGATCCTCTCCCTCTGTCTGCTGCTCCCTCTGTTTGTGTTTCTCTCTTTCTCTCAAATAAATTGATAAAATTTTTAAAAAGGGAAAGAGAGGGAAGAAATGGTTTTATAGGTAATTCATTTCATAGACTTTATTAGGAAAAAGCCACCTGATTGGTTTACTGTCATGCTTCACTTTTGACCAGAAATATTATTTCTAATATGACTACCAACCCTAGTCAGTAAATAGCATGTCAGAATAGCCTGGACCAGGATAATTCTAGAAATGAATCCATTCCAAGGGATAAGACATTTTTGAGGCATTTGAAAGAAATACGGCATGGACTCCGAAGGGAGGCATTCCCAAGACAGTGTCCTTGAACTGTAGAGTGATGGCAGCATACAGAATAAACATATAGATATGTTTTTCCAGGGGACACTTTGAAAGAGTTAGCTTCATCTGAAATCTTGTCCATTTGTGACGGGAAAGCAATGATCTTTAGAAGTCTTCTTGCCTCTTCAGTCATACCTTGCAGTCTGTCTTTCTAAAGATCTTCCCAAGCCTGTTCCATTCACTGGAGACTGCTCAAAGTCCTGGAGACAAAGGAGAGGCTGGTGTGTCCCAGCCCACTGGCTTAGAGAGGGAACCAAGCCCTCATCATTTCAACAGAAAGGGCAGCAGAGAAAATCAACATGACGTTTTGGCACACAGTATTTCTGAGTCTATCACATTATCGCTGGGAATTTAACCATGCTTCAGCATCCTCTTCTTTGAGGATTCATACAATTCTCTCCTAGGCTGGCTTCTCCCTCCCCTTAGATGATGGTGTATCAGCAGTGATCCTTTGGTTGCAGGGTAAAAACCAACTCTGCTAACTTACATAAAATAAAAACTAGTAAAATGAAATTCAGTCTACTTAAGTAAAATAGAATTTTGGAATAATTTCCAATTCCTGGAGTATTAGTGGGGAGGATGGTGGATCAGGGTTAAAGGAAACAATTCATCTTCAGAGTGCTAGAGAGGCACAAATAGAGGGAAATTCTCATGGCAGGAGCAACGCAGTGAGCCTCCTGCAACTGTTTTTAGTTTCTTTGTTCATCTGTGTCATGTAAAATGCCAGGAGGGAGTCTCATTGGTCGAGTTTGGATCTCGGGTCTTGGCTACAGGAGAACAGGGCTTCTGGCTGTTCTTCCAGACTATGTATTATACTGTAGTACTAAGAGCATAAATTATGAGGCCAGATTATGTGGATTTATATCTCAGGTATGCTGCTTACAGATATTTCTCCTCAAACACTTCATTTAACCCTTCAGAGATTCAAGAGCCTCGTTTTTGAAGTGGGCATAGTAATAGTAATTATCTCATAAGGAGCTCATGAAATTTGAGATGATATTTATAAAAACCCCAGCACGATGCATTGCACATAGGAAGCACTTGGTCATTATGGGCTATGCTGCTATTAAAATTATCAGTGGAGACACCAAATAATTTTTTGAAGTGAAGTAAGGTACCATTAAAAAAGGGAAATAAATATTGGTATTTCAAAAATTATTATTGATTATAGATAAGAAAGTTGGCCCAACACACTTTACTTTGCTAATATATTTCTCAGCAAGCTGCTCTTTACGATGTTAAGGTTCTAGAAATGTGGATGGCATCTGTTCTTTAATGTATCCCTGAGAAAAGTGATTTGACTGCCTGATCATTTGATTGACACACATTGATTGATACTTCCTTTGTGCTTAATTCTGCATAGAGTCACATAATCTGTGGCTCCTGGTTGCTTACCAGGAATGAAAGTGAGGAATAATTTTCATTGCTATAATCTTTAATAGTAATCTAAATGGACTGTGGTCTAATAAGTCAGCACCTAGTTAAGTTTACTTTAAGGGATACAGAATAATAGAGAGGGTTTGTTATTAAGCCTCTCAACTTTCTAAGAAAAACATGTAAGTAGAGCCCCAGTACATGGATTAATTGGGTTTCCGAGTTTATTTGAAGGTTGTTTGAACCTTAATTATGGATAATCACACAGTGACATTCATCAGAGTCCCTCTTAGAAACAGCCTATACCCCATCCCAGAAAAGTAAAGGTTTCCAAGGAGAAAAAAAATCTGAAGGAGAACTTGAATTCTACTAGAAAAGGCATTTTGTCATGGACAGGCCCGAGGAGTACGCAAGAATTACCTGAGGCCTCTGAGCCCTCTGTGAGGAAGTAATGGGGTAAAAGAACGCAGAACAACATCTGGCCCATGACTCAGTTTGGAAGGAAAGGGACAATAAGGAAACATCCACAGAAATCTTAAGAGAGTTCTTTGAGTATGAAACTGTTGTGAAAAATAAAAAAAAATAAAAGAAAAAAAAGAAAAAAAAAAGAAAAGGCATTTTAGTCCATCAGAGGCATGAAATGGACTCAAATCTCTGAAGACAAATGGAAGCTCACTGTAGAGCACTACACAGAGCACTCATTTGGAATGCCCGTGTTATGCTGAGGAGGAGAGCACAGTACCAGGCCATGGGGAGCTAGACTGAGGCCACACATTGTGACAGAACCAGTCAGATAGAACCTCACTGCCCTCACAGGTACTGCCTACACAGCCACTAAGGCATGAATCTCTTGACTAGATGCTTCCACATGACCGCCACACTCTGACAGTGCTTCTGAAGCCAACCCACTCTAGCCTCTGTGTCTAAACCTACCATCTTCTGTCCTAACCCCCAACTCCAGACCTGACTAACTGGCCCAAAACCCAACCTCAACATGCCATATACTCAACACTAGGAAGGCATTTTGACTGGATACTGAAAGTAGAAGACCTTTAGGGTTACTTTTTTTTTTTTGAAAGGTGTGTATCTTTTTCTGGGGGAAGAGCTTGGCACGGTGGAGGCTGGGGTGGGGGAAAGGGACAGCGCGTGGCTCTGGATTTATTCCGTCAATACAGAGAAGCCTGGCTATGCCACTTGTTAGCCATTTCACTTTAAGCAACTTACTTGTCATCTATACAATGTGGATCAATAACCAACCTATCTCAGAGAATTATTGTTAGGATTAAATGAAATGAATATGCACCAAGCCTAGTATTTGGCACAGAGTGGGGACTAAAAAAGAAATTCTAATTCTTGAATAAAACTTTTTTTTTCTTGAGTGTACAGTGAGTTTCAGAGGTAAATGAATCATCTTTACAATTAGAAGCTTGACATAAAGAAGAAGGAAGTAAACAACCAAATTTCTCTTTAAATTATTTTCCTTTGCTAACTTGTCTTCTTTTGTCTGTGTTCATACAAACTAGTTATGCCTGCAAAAATGTTTCCATGGCCAGTTCTTTTCTACATGTTTAAATTCCTAATTGTGCACACAATCTTAGTCACTATATTTTCATGTGCAAGCAATTAAGACTCATTTAACAGCCCTCCCTCTGGAAGGTTTTGTTCTCCATCTGCCATAAATCAGATTCCTTAGGAACATGTTTGATTTTGAAACAATGTGAAAGTACTGTTCATTTTGTTCAAATTTCATTTATGTACCATTTTTTAAAGTGATGTAAATGGACAGCCACAAAAAGCTCAGCAGCTGGTCAAAACAAGACATCAAAGAAACCATTGAAATGGGGCAAAAAATTAAAAAAAAAAAAACTAATATGCTGGGACAAAGCAAAATAAAAACCATAGTCTGATAAAACATTCCTCAGACACATTTTGCTCATGTTTACTTTACAGCAGATTTAAAATATGGGAAAATGGGAAAGTACCGCTCTTCCCAGTCTGGAGCTCACAGGATTGTATGTGAGGAAAAACAGTGAAAGAAGCCAGAAGGAGGAAGACAGAAAAAGATTAGATTTCTAAGTGTTTGTGGAGAGACTTGGTACTCAGCTACACATTTAAATAATAATAAGACTCAAACTGATTTGTACCACACTTTTGTTCATTTAAAAACCATTAGTAAGTATTGTTCTCCCTCACCACAGGTGAAGTCCATTTTAGTATGTTCAGTGAGCATCTTTGGATTATCCAAAAAAGAAGCTAATGCTTGGTCAAATTAAGAGGGAAAAATAAGTACCCCTGGGGCTAATAATACATTATATGTTAATAAAAAATAAATTTTTTTTTAAAAAGAGGGAAAAATAATTATTAGGTTCTACGCTTATTTTAGCAGTACATATCCTAAAATTGGAATGATACAGAGAAGATTAGCATGGCCTCTGCCTGAGAATGACATGAAAATTTGTAAAGCATTCCATATTTTTTTAAAGAAAAAAGGATTATTAAGTTCTCAACATAAATGCCTGTGAACTGGCACCTAAAATTCAACAAAAAATTTTTTTTAAAGTTTTTTTTTTTCTTAAACATTTTTGAAATTAAATGTCACAGTTTGGAGAAGTCACCCACAGAAAATCGTTTCCTCTGCCTAAACGAACGTCCCATTGTTTGGGGACTTGAAATAAATCACCCACATAGCTAATGCAGTAAGTCCCCATTTATATATCAATAGAAATGTTTGCCTACCAGCTTCCTAAGGCTTTATAAGCTGAATTGTTTTGATACCGTTTGATGAAAGGTTCTTTATAAAAGTTCAAAGTATTGTTGTTCATTTGGACAGTCACACCTGCACATTTAAAATGCCTTTGTGCAATGTGTAGCCCAATCTGCTTTCACATCAAACCTTCAAAGAAGGGTAGATTCATAAGTGTGACAGATCCCCTTAGGTGTTTCCCTACAAAGAAAAAGTAAAACGAAGAGAACCACTCCCACCCCACCATCTTTGTCTCTTTGAGCCTGAGTATCAAATGGCACCTCTAAAAAGAGAAGCAGAGAAAACGTTAGTACTTCTGTGCTAGAGATCTAACGCAAGATACGGAAGGTCTTCTGGAAGAAGTGGCACCTAAGAATTATCAAATAGTTGTTAAGTAAACAGAAAGGGGAATTGGAAATGGAGGGAGACACACTTAAAGGGCAGCTAAGCTCAGAAATCACTGACGTATGATGTCTGCCGCTAAAGGAGTTTGTTCCATTTTAGGGTGTAATTAAGAGTCACATGAATGTTGCCCTAGGCATTTAGGGTAGTGGTTCACAGACTTGTAGGTTCACTAGAATCACCTAGGGATCTTTTTAAAATTCCAAAGAATGAAAGAAGAAGATATAAAAGGTTCAGAGACCAGTTAGAGCACAATAACGATGTCCAAGAATACAGTCAAATAAAGTCCCTATCCTAGCAAGATAGCTAGATTGCAGAAATATGGAGCAGGAGATTGTTGTAAATGATAAAAGAACAGATGTGTGGGGTTTAGTAACTGCTAATCATGATTTTGAGTGGATGTAGAATGGCTCTGACAGTATATGAATTATTATGATCCTTGCTATTATATATAGCATATATAGGATTATGTATTGGATCAATATAGTTTGATACTTGAATTCCAGTTTGGAATTTAAGGCTGGTTTATCTCAGTGCATGGATTACTTACATTTCATTTAGAAGAAAATGATCCATATGTCAAATATTCTAGGAAACCAAAGTTCATAATCTTAATCATTTGGAATGAAAATCTTTGAAAGGTATTATGCTCATTCATAACCGCTTAAAGGCACGCACTGAATGTAAGGAAATTATTTTTAGTGGCTCTGGTCATGACTATATACATCTGTTCTTCTATACTTCCTTGACATTCACAGAGGCATTTTAGAGCTAATGATTATGGACTTTTCCCCCAACATTTAGGAGCCCCAAATGTTGCTGCATTTTAACTTCTCATTTCCTGCACTCAATGATTACCTCCTAACGTTCTTAGTGAACCTGGCATTACTGGCCTCTCTGATCTGCTGCTTCTTTCACCTTGACAAACCAGAGTCCTAGCCATTGCACTGAGTCTGAATGAGAACAAATGAACTCAAAATAAAAGCGGGGTTGGGACCAGTCCATCTCTAAGGTAGAGCTTTAGAATATTTAATGCATATAACAAATAAGAGGTTTTTTTGTTTGTTTGTTTCTTCAATTTTACTATAGTTTAAACACAATGTTACATTAGTTTCAGGTGTACAACATAGTGATTCAACTTCTCTGTATGTTATGCTATGCTCACCACAAGTGTAGCTCCCATCTGCCGCCATACAACGCTATTACAATACCGTTGACTATATTTCCTATACTGTGCCTTTCATCCCTGTGACTTGTTCATCCCATAACTGGAAGCCTGTGCCTCCACTCTTCACCCATTTCACCCATTCCCTCAACCCTGTTCCCTCTGGTAGCCATCAGAATCAGCCACCTGATTCTGCTTTTGAACAAATAAGCTTTTAAATGCATTTGTTGACTGTTCTGGGGCTCTTTGTGTCTGGTACTGAACTGTAGTAGTACATGGACAATTAATTTCTGGGTGAATAGATTATTATTAAACTATAAGAGCTAATAAAATTAATATTAACTTATCATCAAGCAATCAACAAAAACATGTTTAATTCTGTACTCTGGGTTTCAGGGAAATGGGAATGAATAAGATGCAGTCCTACTTCCAAGAAATTAGCAAGATATAATTGTTCATATGAAAAAGACACCAAGAATCTTAGATACTCTCTAGGATTGTGTCACAGACAACAAGTGTCTTAAGAATTCAGGAAGTAAAGATCACATTCAGATAAGCAATGATACACCTTGAATGCTTTTCAAATGTTAGAATAGTTAAATGTCCCTCCTGGCCAGACTTTTGTAATGGGTGTGTTAATGAATGATCACTACCTAGCGACAGAGTTTTAGGATTGCTTCGAGCACCCCAGCGAATTAGCCCTTTTTAGGAATATTTGCTATTACAAAAGAAAGATAATCACTTGTGATTTATTTATTTTTTGAGAGTGAAAGAGCACAGGTGGCAGGGAGGAGAGAGAGAGAATCTCAAGCAGACACCCCACTGAACACAGAGCCCAATGTAAGACTCAATCCTACAACCCCAAGATCATGACCTGCACCAAAATCAAGAGGTGGATGCCTAACCAACTGAGCCACCCAGGTGCTCCTCACTTGTGATTTATTAACTTTCCGTCATCCTGCATGGGGCCCTGAACTTGTGAAAGTTGTAGAAAGAGCAATAACCCTAGGGTGTGGGGACCAGAGCTATAATCCCTCCTCTGTCACTAGCTCCCTGTTGAACCTTGAGTCAGTAATTTAAGCTGGTTTTCCATCTATAAAATGAGGATATTAGATTAGATGATATTTAAATATCCAACCAGCTGTTTTCTTTTTTATTTTTTAAAAATGCATACTTCTGATGAATTGCCTTCCTATAATTATATTTTCTATATAATTATATTTCCCTAAGATGTGAATAAAAGATACACTAAGTCAGTGTCTGAATTCCACTTTTCCCAATATAGGTCCTGTAGAGAATATCCGGGATACCCACCATTTACTATTTTGAATTTTCAACAAAGAGTTAAAAGAAAATTCTGGCTTCCCTGGCTAGTCATCCTCTCCAGTTGGCAGAAGTCTTTGTGTGGACTTGATGGTTGCCTAGAGCAACAAAATATTAGGGACAGAAACACGTTCAGGGACTTGATTGTATAAGTGACTCAGAGCTGAGAGACCTTTCCCAGCTTGAACGGCGCCCATACTTAGCGAGAGTGGGTATTTGTCTATGCCTGTCTGCACCACTCCGCTGACTGGGAGGTGCCTGTTATTTTGCTTACAAAATACAGAAGCCAACCTCAAAACCTGCAGAGAAGGGTTAACTGGTCAGAAGGCAATCTTCATTCAGCACGTCTTACACATGAGAGATCGTTAGGACTAGTAAATATAAACAAGATGAAGAGGCCGATTGTGGGCTTTGAAGAGCACATACCAAGAACATTATGAGAACTCAATAAAAACTCAACGTAAGAGCTACTCTTCAAAGCCAATTATCCCTTTCGAGTTAGGACAACCCACTGGAAGAGCTGTTCACAAAAATCAGTACCCTTGTCCTTCTCTTTGTTGAAGCCAGACATCTCTAAATATGCTGTGAGTAAAAATGTGAAGTTAAAAAAAAAAAAGTTTTTCTATTCCTAAATTCCTTAAATCCTCAGGTCATCCCCTCCCTGTGCCATGAGTCTGGCTCTGTAATACCAATTAGTCCAGCTTGTTAAGGAAGTTATTAGCACCCGGGAATCATGTCTGTAGGTTCTAGTCAGTGTTGCCTGCAGCATGAAGTGGAGAGATAAGTATTAGCCAAAGCTCATTACCTGAAGTCCACCAGGTTTCATCTTACTTCTGTGTTTGCTTGTGTTATTTTTATACCCAGTACACATTTTTCCCACTTGGACATGAACAAGATCATTATGATAATAACAGCAATCATATACTTTCACTTTTTATCCTGATGGAATATTTATTGTGTGTCTTCATGATCAGAAACAGGCCCTCTCAGTTTTGACATTATGGATTGTAATGACTATTCTTTTGGCGTGATTGGAAACATAGTCCTCAACTTACACAGTTTACATAGTAACTCTTATCCGCATAACCATAGCAGCTGTTTGGAAACATGGCTTTGGATCACTTGTTTGCAAATGTCTTTTTCCGTACAATCCTGGATGGAGTGGAATCCATATACGTTACTTGACATGTGAAACACATGTGACCCTGGCAGATGATTCCTCTGACCTTGAAAACTCCAGCTGCTTAGTCACTTTAAAAACAAGTCAATGCACGTGATTTACTAGGCTTGGGCTTAGACCATTTTATGCCCACCGATGGGAATTCTGACCCTTCAGGGAAGGAAAAAAAAAATGTGTAAGACAGTGGAAATGTGTCATGCTGGGTGTTAATGTGGTCATTAATTTTAGTACATTTCTTTACAAAAAGTGCAGAGACGACTGCTTGCCGTCACAGGAAAAAAAGGCAATAACGTCCCTGAGGCTTCCTTTTATTTTTTAAAAATTTCATGAAGAAATCCAAGTTTTAGCTTTTGTTTTCTCTCCTTTCAACTGAAGAGCAGTCTGTAATCTCCTAGAAAGACCAAAGCTTCTTTGCTTATTGTAAAATTCTCTGCTTGGCGTTAGGTGGTAGAGAGTTCACATTCTCTTCCAAGGCAGCCTTCCAAGTGTTCCCGTCACTCTGTGTACACATTGTTATAGCTGGACTTTGGTTCAGCTGGAATGAAAGAGACCTGAAAAGTAATGCTTTAATCAAGATAGAAGTTTATTTCTCTTTCCTATAAAAGAGACATACAAGTGGGCAGTCCAGGGCTGGTGCGGCTGCTCCAATGTCGTTAGGGACCTA